GGTGGCAGGGGTGATGGGGCCTCTGGCCTGCAAAGCCCGTTGGACTCTCTGCCCTTCATTGCTGCTTCTTGCAAAGCCAAACAGGCTACCAGCTCTGCCCTGCCTAGGATTTTCTTCAGACGTCTATTGTATTCAACTATTTACCTACTCAGATCTTGGCTCACTCTGTCGATGTGTGTTTTAATATTCAATCCTAGGGAACTGGTGTGATAGTGCAGCAGGCAGGACACACATGGCCAGTTCAGATTCAATCCCTGACACCCCATTTTCGCCACTTCCGCCAGCCCTGACGGTGTTTAGAAGACCAGGTGGTGCCAAGGATGAAATGGCGAGGAAGTGCTTTGAGCCATCGATGAGTTGAAAAAGACCAAGTTTTAAGCAATACTTGTTCCCAAATTTTTTCAAAAGGAAAGTGGATTCTTTACAAAATCAGGATATAGAATACTTAAGACTGACTTTTCTATTGAGGAAAACACTGAGATTCTGTTACTGCTCTTTTTTGTTAGAGAAAATAATCCCTTCTTGAAATGTTTTCTTGTAAGGATTTTTAAAATCACTTTGGAAGTAGGTCTCCTGCAAGAGTTGAACAATTGAGGGGACTGGAGCGACAGCACAGCAGATAGGGTGTTTCCCTTGCACGCGGCTGACCCGGGTTCGGTTCCCAGCATCCCATATGGTCCCCTGAGCACTGCCAGGAGTAATTCCTGAGTACAGAGCCAGGAGTAGCCCCTGTGCATTGCTGGGTATGACCCAAAAAGAAAAAAAAAACTTGAATAATTGCCCGGTTCTTCTTAGGAACAAATAAATTATTCTGCCTTTTAGGTTTACTAAAATGCATCAACACGTCCCTAACATTTGCCTTGATGCTTCCAATGTGTTTCTCAGCCTTCACTGGACTACAGAAAACCTTCTTGTGCCCACCTTGACCTGCAGGTTGCCCCCATGGTCTCATGCCATGGCAACTATTATCAGACCCAATTATTACAAGTTTAAAATAATTTCTTCACAGTAAAATAAGTTGAAGTCAGCATTCTTACTTTTTCTTCTCAAACTGCACATTTTTAAATCTTATTTTTTAGAGGTTCACTTGGCTTTGCTGAAGGATGAGGACTTCTGGTGGGGACCACATGCATTGCTGGGGAGATGAAGCCTGGGTCAGCTGCAAACAAGGCAAGAGTCTTCTCTACTGCAGTCTCTCCGGCCCATAGACCGTACAGTTTAGTATGTTCTTTTCTAATTTCACATTAGGAATTAGGCAGAAGGGACATGTTTTGCTCAAGAAACACTGAACTGTGTTCAAGGGAAGTGAACTCTTCTATGTGAGTAACTTCCTGTGTTCTGAATCCTGGCTTCTCTGTAGACCTGTGCTCCACCTTAAAATCTCTCCCCCCTCGTCTCCCTGGCCCCTCTGCCTAAGACTGCTTACGTCTGCTGGGTCTACTAGTGAAAAGGTTTCATACTTAAGAAAATTTCCTGGGATCAGTCTAATACCCCAACTGTGTGAGTTAGGTTTGAGAAACACTAGTTAGGTGTGGTGCTAGTTAGGTTTAAGAAACACTACTTACTTCAAAGTAAAACCCCGTGAAAAAAACAAACAAAACTCATATAATAAAACCTATCTGTTAAACATTGTCAAGAACTTTATCAGCAGCATTTAAAAAACCCATTAATGAAAAACAAACATGGTAATGCAGTCGGATGCGCATGACAAGATAGCACTTTTATTTTTTAAAATCACACTAAAGAAGCCTGAGAATTAGCAGAGTGGGCAGGGCACTTGTCTTGCATGTGGCTGATCCGGGTTTGATCCCCAGAACCCCATATGGCTCCCCAAGTCCCACCAGGAGAGATCCCTGAGCACCACCAGGTGTGGCCGCCAAACAAAAAATAACAGAAATCATACTAGGTTATCTGAAACCCAGGCAATTTCCTAGAGATACTAAGTCTTATGAAAATCTGGCTCTGATGGGTAGAGACACGATCTCGTCTTAGAGCTGAGAAGGAATACCTGGCTATTTCTTTCCAGCAACATTACATTCAGATACCAGTGGACCAGCCCACAGCGGGTAGGGCGTTCGCCTTACAAGCGGCCAACATGGCCGACCCGAGTTCGATTCCTCCGCCCCTCTCGGAGAGCCCGGCAAGCTACCGAGAGTATTCGATATGCCAGACACAGTAACAACAAAGTCTCCAATGGAGACGTTACTGGGCCCGCTCGAGCAAATCGACGATCAACGGGAGGGCCTTTACCTTTTTTACCAGTGGACAAGTCACTTCTATTTGTTTTATTTCATGTCTTTGTACTAGGGAACAAGGCCGTGCCCTGGCATTTCTGACCCTGGAGTTCCGGCATGCCAAGCTCTCCATCTTCTAAGTCCCAAACCATTTTTAATCACATGTACCACTATTTCACCCCATCTAAAGGGGATTATTACTTCTGAAAAAAATTCTAAAAGGATTCCTGGGAAGGCACTTAAAGCTGACTGGTTTTCAGAGAGGCCAGAAAGACTTCTTTTACACTTATCAATATAGCCCTCTTTGATTACACTAATTTAGCCCATGTTTCTAGTTGATATGGTTCAAATGTAAATTAAGAAAGATAAAAAGGAACAAGTCCAGATGCTGAATAATGGGGCAGAGTCAATTTGACTCTCCGGAAGGTAAATTTCATGAGCATAGGAGAGACTACAGGAGAGTGAGGCAAGCGCAACTGAGGCAGGATTAATCGGATTAGTAATGTTCAGGGGGAAAAAGCTAAATTCTAATTTTCAGAGTCAGGTTATATAGGTATTTTTGGAAAAGTAAATGAGGTGTAGAGTTTCAAAAATTTTTGGAAAAGTTGTAAGTTTTGAGTGTCAAGACATGGCTATTGGTTTAATCTGAAACTGCCAGACGTCACTATAATGTTGTGATTTAAGTTATAAACAAGAAATATTCTACCAGTCTAAAAGCTGTGCCTTGGAGAAATGAGTCAATTAAATTAAGTAGTTCAAATATTTATCAGGACTTAAAAAACACCACTCATTAAGTTGTAACACTGCCAACATGCTTAATTCCAGCACGTCAGTGATCTAATACTTAAATAGGTGCCGTGCAAGAAAATTACTACCTTTAAGGCATTTGGAGAAAACTTGTTTTCTAATATTTCAGTGCCTTTACAAACTGATTTCATTAAGAAGGCAAGTAAAACATCGTTTCCGCCCAGCTCATTAATCAAAAAGCAAGGTCAGAAACCACTTTAAAATGCTATTTTTCCTCAGGTAATGAAAGTATCACTTACTACAGAAATTCATCATTTTTAAAAAAAATGCCCCCAAATAAATGAAACAACAACAAAATCAACCTTTTTTTTGGGGGGGGGGTCACATTCGGCGATGCACAGGAGTTACTCCTGACTCTGCACGCAGGAATTACCCCTGGGGGTGCTCAGGGGACCATATGGGATGCTGGGAATCGAACCCGGCTTGGCTGCATGCAAGGCAAATGCCCTACCTGCTGTGCTATCACTCCAGCCCTCAACTTTTTTTTTTTCCCCGTTTGGGTCACACCTGGCAACGTACAGGGGTTACTCCTGGCTCACACACTCAGGAATTACTCCTGGCAGTGCTCGGGGGACCATATGGGATGCTGGGGATCGAACTCAGGTCGGCCTTGTGCAAGGCAAACACCCTACCCGCTGTGCTACTGCTCCAGCCCCAACAAAATCAACCTTTACCCTATCCCCTATAAGAATATTATTGCTATGGGGGAATAGTCTGTATACTTCCCTCCAGTCATTCGGTAAGGGGAGTCACTGAAGCTGCACCTGGACTGTGAACCAGGCCTGCATACGGCTGGGGAACTAAGATCTGGGAGGAATGTACAAGCAGCTCTGCCACTAGTCAAAAGATATCCTTTACATGAACTACAAAGGGCCACCCTTTCCTTGAAATGCTTTATTGCCAAAAGTGACGACTAGCAAAATTGTGATTATACCAATGTAAATGGTTGAGCTGTACACAATCGTTCATGATTCCTAATACTGTTATTTCCTTTTCTTAAATATAGCGTATCTAAGATTATGATACTAGTCTTAGGTGTGCAGGATGCCCAGGCAGTGCTCCGGAACCTGAGTCCAGGACCAACAAAACCTGATCCCAAGTATGTAAGTGGAAAGGGTCAGCGCTCAGCCCAACAGTGCTTGGAGACACGAGGCTACATATATATATGGTGGTGTTAGGGGACTATGTCATCCAGTGATGGAACACAGGTCCTTCATATGCAAGGCCTGTGCTCCAGCCCTTTGAGCAATATTCTTAGTTCCTGAAGTTCTCCTAAACAACAAAAAAAGATCTTAATGAAACTCCCTAACCTCAAAATGACAAAGGTCTCAACTACGCCACTAATAACAATAATGACACAACTTCATTATTGTTCCTAATTCTCTAAAAAGGTTATCTGATTTGGAGAGTAATACTAATGAAGATTACTCTTTAATATATAAATGGAATTTTTTTAACTCACAAAATAAATTTAAAATTCATACACACACACACACACACACACACACACTCATATATGCAATGCTGATTTATGCTGACCAAACTATTTATTAGAAAACAAAATAATCTAATCCTAAACTTTAGGTAAGCCGTTATGGTCTTAAATGGATTATACACATATGTATATATACACACATATTATATATACATATATTATATATATATATGCATATAGATGCAAATAAGACACTGGCAGCTTTTCACAGGAACCCAGAGCAAAAAGCTCCATCACAGCATCATGATCCTAGATGTCACGGCCAATAATCTTCCTAACTGGGCCAAGATGGATATAATGAACCATACCATCAGCCAGCTACATTGTCACATGGAACATTTAAAATCTTTAAAATTCCAGAAATTCCTGATGAGACAGACTCAGAAATTTGAGGATTCTAATTTACAAAAAAAAAAAAAGTACCACTCTGACACTCACTCAAGGGGACATCTTCACTTTTAGGGCTTTGTCACAAATCTGAATCTTTATTTTTCTGAAATAAATGTTATAAACGTAACTCAAAAACAAAACAAAACAAAACAAAACTTCAGTATTCAGTCTCAGGAGAGGTGTGGCTCAATGCCCATCACATGTAACAAGAAAACTTCCTTTAAAAAAAAAGGAGAAGTAGTACTATGAGAAGTCCTTCCCGTGAATGAAAATGCACCCTTTGGGGTTTTTCTTCTCATCTCTTAGCCTGTATACATGTGGAAATCAAAGGTTTGCATTTTCGTCACACAGTTCTTGCTATGATGTTTGGCGGACTTTTTGCCACTCAACAAATTCATCGAGAAGAACAGGCCCTAGAAATAAAGAAATGTTTTCTGTTAGTGTTGGTGAACTCATCACTCCAGCTATGAAACCAACTTCCCAGGAGCTGGTGATGCGGGCAAGTGGCGCCTCATCTCTGCAGGCCTTCGTTTCCTCCCAGCCTCCTCCTCAGTGGTGCCTGGCTGGCCTCTCTGGTTTAACTGAAGGCACCTTCCACAATGGGTATTTGTGGCACCTTCCATCTCAAGGTGGGTTTCCTGAATTTTCCAATCACTAAGTCAATATGAACCTCCTTCTATGCACACAGCATTGTCATTTAATCATAAAACAACCCAAAAGAATCGTATTCCTCTTTTTACACGGCACCAAAAGCTCGTGTGCTGGCTGATGAGCTTCCGGGAATTAAAGAGACATAGTACAGTAACAGAATGTAGTACAATTCTGAACACCTGACACTTAATAGATACTTGACACTTTTCATACTGTATTCTTACAATACTTTATTTTTTAATAATGCTTTATTTAAACTCTTTAGGGTGATTCCAAAGCCCCTAACCTACAGACTCCAGGTTAATAATTCAACTGAGTTCCCTATTTATTGTTTTTAAATGTAGAAAAATTCACGGGGTTGGGAGACAGCTCAATAGACTGACCAAAGTTTTTTTTATGTGAGATTGAGTATGTCTCAAAAACCATAACCAAGGTCCTAGGAACCACTGGCTATGTTCCCCAAACCAAACCAAACCAGAACTAAGAAATTCGCTTGTCTTATTTTTCTTAGAACAAAATACCTGGTAGTTTTCCTCTTCTCTGGCTTCAGACATTTCTCTACAGTACGAAAATCAGTAGACTGGGACTAGAGTGGTAGTACAGCAAGCAGGGAACCTACTGTGCAAATGGCCAACCCAGGTTCGATCCCCAGTGTCCCGTGTAGTCCCTTGAGCACTGCCAGGTGTGCTCCAACCCTCAACCCCAAATCCCCAAACCAACAAAAGCCAAAAAGAAAACTGCCAGCGGAGTTTTAATTAATGTTAATACTATTAATGTGTTATTCGGTATCACGGTATCACGGTCCTCCCATTGTTCATCGATTTGCTCGAGCGGGCCCAGTAACATCTCCATCATGAGACTTGTTGTTACTGTGTCTGGCATATCGAATACGTCACGGGGAGCTTGCCAGGCTCTGCCGTGCGGGCGAGATACTCTTGGTAGCTTGCCGGGCTCTCCGAGAGGGACGGAGGAATCGAACTCGGGTCGGCCATGTTGGCCGCTTGTAAGGCAAATGCCCATTAATAAATGACAATCCAATGAATGACAATAAAAAAATCCTAAGTATTGGCATGCTGTTGTCCAATTTGCTGGAAAACAAGTCCAGCATAAGTAATGCTTTGGTTCTAGCCTCAAATTCAGGCTTTGTCAGGTTTTCTGATTCCCCCCCCCGCCACCAACAAACCTATAAGTTGCACTTTTATATAGAAACTTTCTATTTTAAATGTTGACTGAGACACACACACTGGAGATACACATCTATAGGTTATACTGCTCTTTGCCAGTTTTCTGCAAAGAATTTCTAACAAACTTTATATCCTTTTCTAAGTGTAGGATGAATATATACAGGGAGAGATAAAGTTATTCCTATTTTTAGCTTTTTATTTCAATGTCAAAGAACAAAGTCCCTAATTTCAGTTTCTGTTTAAAGAAACTGAATGGGTAACCATAGAATCTTTTGGAAAATTAAATGATTCATGTACATGAAAGAACAGAATCTGAAAATTATATTAATTTGATTTATAAAACTCGTCATTATTTCAAAAACAGATGTTGCATGTAATTCTGATTGCTCTACCAGAATAGAAACATATATTTTAACTTGCATTAACTAAAAATTTTTAAGTACTTTATACTATTCAACTTTCAGGGGAAAGCTATTATTACATTATTTGCCATATTGAAAATCAGCTATTATTTTGCTTTTATGGTTTTAAAGTTTTTACTGTACTTTCATAGGAATGTGCCAGGTAAGCCAAGACTGTAAAGCAGAATTGTAGCTTACAGATCAGAAATTATAATTTAAATTTAGTTATAATGCTTGGTTACTGAGGAATTAAAAATGCTTCATTTGCTAAGTAAGCTTTGATCATGTTGCTTAATCAAAGCCTTCCGGTCTTCCTTCTTAACCTGCTTTTGCCACACTCCAGACTTGATGATTATGCGATAAAAGTTACTGTCAGGAAGCTTAAATTCTTTGGTAATGTTGCACAAATGTGTATTTGCATTTAGTTGTTTTCTTTTGGTGCCTGTGACTGGATTCACAGCCAAGACCCCTGGTGTGTGCTCTACAACATTGCTACTCCCCTCACCAGTATTAAGAATTTTATTTTCATAGAAAACACAAAATACTTACAAGCACCGTCTTCATCATAGTTACTAAGATCAGCGTGGACTGTTCTGCTGAATTCTAATACATTGTACCACTGATCTTTGTTTATAACACGATACTTTGATTGCTGTAGAAAAATGATGCAAATATTTAGATTATATGAGAAGCATTACAGAACACATGTAATGTACATCTGAATCAATGAATCACTTTAGTTTGACTTTTTAGGCCACACATAGTCCTGGGCTACTCAGAGTGGTGTGATCCTGGCTGCCAGTCTGCCAATGAGCTACCATCTCCGATCCAATGATTCCTGGCACGACTTTTGATGTGGTCTTTCTCCAAAATACTGATTCCTCTTTCAAATTATTTTTTAAAATTTTTATTAGTGAAACACTATGAGGTACAGTTGTAGACTTACAGATTTTTGTGCTTGGGTTTCAGTTTTACAATGATCCAGTACCCATCCCTCCACCAGTGCCCATTCTCCACTTTTGTTTCTAAGAATAAATAAAATGCCAGGGGCACTGTATGTTATTTTTTTTTAAGTTTTAAATTTTGTTTTTCTTTTATCTTTGAGGACTTAGAGCACCAGGAATAAGGATAAAACTCAATGAATTTTAAACAATGAGATCCAGAAAATCACTTCTACATTCAATACGTCCCCTTCTGCTGATTTTCACTTCTCTATTGAGATTTAGCTACATTTCAAAATTGGCATTTTTGAAGGCAGTTGAGCATAAAAGGCTTAACATCCTAGACAATTTCAGTAGAAACCATGTTCTCCTTTGCTAAATGGGATAAAAGCTAATTAATGTATGTTCAACACCCTCCATATAGTAAGTATTTGAAAGTTCCTAGTTCACTTTGCTTAGGCCCCCTTTGAGGTAAAAATTTTTACATTGTTTTATTTCGTGGAGCCAACGATGGATCCCAGAGCCTCCCTTACACAGGAATGCCTCCTTCACTGAACCATATCCCCAGGCCTCAGTTTTGAGGGTGTGAGGATAGGGGAGGAGTATGTGTCACATCTGGCCATACTCAGAGTTTATTGCTGGTTCTGTGTTCAAAGATCTCTCCTAGTAGTGCTCATGGAAACAGATGTGGAACTGGGGATTAAACAGGAGTTGGCCATATGCAAGCGCCTTAATGCCTGTATTCACTTTGGCTTAAAACTGCTGTAATAAGGGTTAATAACCTCCATCAGAAGAGACTACTTCATTATGCTGAAAGACTTAGTTGGGTACAAAATGCATTCACATGACACCTCACCACTGTCTCTGAACTCAAGTTTTAAATGTTTAACAAGACTACTTTTCAGGAACTTGCTGATAACAGCTTTATGAGAAAACGTATTTCCAAAGCAAAACCAACCTTGCTTTTACTTTGGTTTCGAAATGGTTTCACTGTCATCCTGTTGTTCATCAATTTACTCGAGCGGGCGCCAGTGACTCTCCATTTGTCCCAGCCCTGAGATTTTAGCAGCCTCTCCTTACTCGTCTTTCCTAATGCTGCCATATTGGAGGCTCTTTCAGGGTCAGGGGAATGAGAACCATTACTGTTACTATTTTTGGCATATCAAATATGCCGCGGGTAACTTGCCAGACTCTGCCGTGCAGGCAGGATAATCTCAGTAGCTTGCCGGGCTCTCCGGGAGATGTGTGTGTGTGTGTGTGTGTGTGTGTGTATTTCCCTCTCTGATTTGTTGCCTACTGTCTGAACCCCATCAGATATGGTGAGGTAATTATGGAAAATGGGTAGAGAGTGTCTTATGATGTGTCACGGTCCAGGAACATGGTTCACTCATATGTGAGGCTCAGCTCGAGCGTGTGGAAAGCAGTCTGGAGTGTGGTGGCAGTTGGGTAGTGAAGGCTGGCTACAAGGGGTTGGGTCCCTTGGGGTGGGGAGGGAGCTCACCCGCCCCCCTCTGGGGTGCCCCGAGTGAAAACTGGTGCAGAGTCCAGGCTGAAATGGTATATCAAAAAAAATAAAAACAAACAAAAAACAACAAACCCTCTCAAAGCAAGCAATGGAAAAAGGGCAGTAACTTCTCATGGCCCTGCCAATCATGCCATAACAAATGTTCCAAAACATTACTCTGTCAAATAAACTCAGCACTGTTTTTAGCAATCAATAAATTTATATATGCTGCTTTAGCCAGCTTCTTACTTTGAACATACACTACTAAATGTTTTATTCTATTTTTTTAAATTGAGCCCAAGAGGAATGGTGTTATCACTCCAACTCGTTCTCTTATGTGGATTTCCGCCTAAGATCCTATCTAAAGGAAAGAAATCTTACTTGGCAGCTTAGATCTGCTCAAGGAGAAATTCTCTGCAGCCACAAGTCCAAGAAACAAATTTTGTATTATAACTGCCAAACTGTATTTACCAGAAGGCATTTTTTGGAAGGGGGGAGGTGCTAATATGCAAGGAAGTATACAAGGAAAAGAATAAAATATGTACAGGATGTATCAATGAACACAGACTTATTTCTGAAAATGGTAGCAGATATGTACCTGATTATTATTTTTCTGGTGCTGAGGACTGAGAGTTATGTGCTTTCATGCTGAGCCACATCCCCAGATGGATACATATTTTAACAAACAGTTTTGGGAAACCCCAGCTGCCATGGTTCAGAGGCCTCGAGTTCAATACTCAGTAGCACCAGGTGTGCCCAGCCTTGGTGGCCCCCAAGACCTCACGGCGAGGCCAAGGGACGTTGGAAATAGGGTCTAGTATCTTTTTCCCTCAGTTGAAGGTATAAAATCAGATTAAATTTCAAAATATTATTTTCGAAATTAAAAAAACACATACCTCCAGGTACTGGTAGAATACTGAAAACAGGGGCCACGTCCTCCCAAGCAGAAGAGCCAACATGGATTTAGCAGTATCGATATCAAGACTTCTCTGGTCTTTATCCTAAATTATAAGTAAAAATGTTTCTAGGAATGGTCTCAAGATTGCAAATGTAGTAAATCAAAAAACATGGAAATTGTACCCACCCTTGCAAAATCAAAGGCGTATCTGTAGATATTCTTAAATGCTGAAATATCATTTAACTGGGAGCGCAAAAAGTCAAATTTATTCTGTAATTTTTCTGTGCAATCACACCTTAAATTAAAAAACAAAATAAATTATATAATAAAATATTAAGTAAAACAAGTCTGGAGTAATAGAAGAACTGGGTTAAGAGAAAGTGATTTTATTTATGAAGTTCTCTTAGGTTTAAAAATCTCTAAATCAGAAATTTAGGGTAGCAAACAACCAATGCAATAGAAAAAGGGGAAAAAAAGATTGGCTACCAGTGGGAGTTCAGTCAGTCCACTGATTTTCTTACAAGTCAAACAAATCCTCCAAAACAACTTAATAAAGCCAAAGTAGTCTCTTAAAAAGAAATGTATTAAAATGTACAATGTGAAAAAGATAGTAGACCAAATGAATAAAACCTGATCTCCACATCTTTTCTTTGGAAAGTCCTTAGGTAACAGCTCAGTGAAATATTAGCCATGAATGGTTTAAAAGTTCAGAATATTAGAGCAAATTACTCATTGCATTAGTAGTTCAAATCATAGCTTCAGATTCCTACACTTTTAGTGAAGATGTCAACAGCAACAGCTAATGTCAGTGTGCAGTCCAATCATAAATATTATTCTTAAAGAAAAGACAACAAATAAGATGTTACAAAGAATGCTCACAGGTCTTTACTTCCTGACTCTCTTTGGGTAGATATATTCTAGGACTCAGCGAGAAGCAAAGCAGATGGAGTCTTTCACAAATGACCAATCTCAGTCTCACCTCCTGCAGGTCCCAACACCCTCACTGTGGCCTAATTGTATTTCACTCACCATCCTCAAAGGTTACGGTTCTACTTTGCATATTTTCCCCTCCAGGGCATGCCCTTCCCTCCAAAACGTTACTGATCCAAACCTAACTCACAGTTTGTCATCTGACAGAGACCACTTGATTCCCTTCTAGCAAATTAGCTGTGCCAGTTACTGTGACCGTGGCATCACAAGTACAAGAACCCTACAGCTAATACACTTACAGACTCAGTGTTTTCCCTCAGAGGTGGAGCAAAGCAAGCATGTCCACCCTGAACACAGTAGTCCAAGCCATTGGAAAATGTCAAAGAAAGGAAATGAGACAAAACTTGTCCCTATTTACCTTTGTCATGTCAAAGGACAGCACATGCCTAATATGTCTGAGTCCAGAGGCCTGGTTCTCAGCACTACTTCCATGCCTGTCTGCACAAAGGTTTTTGCTACCCATTATGTTCAGTGATTTCTGATTGTAAACTAAGGATCCCTGAACATTTTTTTGGGGGGGTAGAATTTGAGGCTATGTTTAGAATGCATTCTTGGGGCACGTACTCTGCAAGCAGGAGGTCTGGTTTTGACCCCCAGCATTATACAGTTCCCTGGGCACTGTGTCAGTAGTCTCTGACCACTGCCAGGTGTGATACAAAACAAAAATTTAAAGATAAATAAATATTCCTCTATGGAAAGAACTGCTTCTAGTACTAGATAGAGGGAGCACTATTTATCTGGAGTAATTCTAAAAGGGTGCCATGCAAATAATAAATTCCAGTTCTAAACCTTCACATTTTAAATTATTTGTATCACTTCACTTGTCTTCCCGTTGTTCATCGATTTGTTCGAATGGGTGCCAGTAACATCTCCATTTGTCCCTGTCGTGTGATAGCATAGCCCTATGGTATATTGGGGGCTCCTTCAGGGTCAGAGGAATGAGAACTGTTACTGTTACTGTTTTTGGTATATCGAATATGCCACGGGGAGCCTGCCAGGCTCTGCCGTGTGGGCGGGATACCCCTGGTAGCTTGCCGGGCTCTCTGAGAGGGAGAAACTGCCCACATTTTAAAAAATTAAGGTGTTCTTTTAGGTAGAAATTCCTAAGTGTCAAATGTATAGAGAATCAAGCCTCGGCAGCCAGGATCCCGCATAATGCGGAATTTGGGCACTAAGATTACCTGGCAGTTTTCTTTTGAAAACTTGAGAGACTCACGCAATGCAAGTCTTGCTTCTGGTCTGCTGCAATGCAGGCTCACGCTGCATTATAGGCAACTGGGCATACAGTGGTTTCCTCAAAGGACATGCCACCTCCACAGATGCTGAGGGAATGAATTGTCATTCAGGAATCATCATTCCTGACCGCTGATTATTTTCCTTAATTTATTATTATAAAGTCTAAGAACATTTCCTGAAAAAGGGTTTTAATATTTGTCCAGTATTTACACATGAAATTGTTCCTTTGCACACTTACTATGCTATACTGCCAAAAAGGGAAACCAAAATTTGGGTGAGTTAGTTGTAGAATAGGGCTCTAGTTTCTTATATTATACACATAAATGAGTGTTTTAATGCAGAAAATAAAAATGTTTCGATCCAAAATTTATTATGTACTATTTTAATATATGAAAAATAAAGTGTTAATGAAAGTTGAATACAGATGTAACTTCTACCAGAAGAACATACAAAACAAACTGATTCTCAATCACAAACTATTCCAATGCCATTTAGAAATCTGGACATTAAGTCCTGAAGCCTCCAGAGATATCATTTAAGAATGAGCTGGGGGTGGGGCTGGAGTGATAACACAGTTGGTAGGGTGTTTGCCTTGTACGCGACTGACCCGGGTTCGATTCCCAGCATCTCATATGGTCCACTGAGCACCACCGGGGATAATTCCTGAGTGCATGAGCCAGGAGTAACCCCTGTGCATTGCCGGGTGTGACCCCGCCCCTCCAAAAAAAGAATATGTTGGGGGTACTATAGCCTAACTATCTGGTTACATATACACCCTTCCTCCTTGGTGTCTACCTTGCCCCATACTCTCTAGCTTAGTGGGCACTGAACCAGTCAGCTGCATGCAAGGCACATGCCTTCTTCCTTGGTTCTTAATCTGGAATTTAAACCTAGTCTGTAATTTTCTTTATGTACTGTATGGTTCTAACAAACCGGACTAGTTCTTTGAAATATATGCTTTTCTTTCTCAAAGCTCCGCTCATAATCCCCTCTGGAGTATTTTCTTATATCCTTAATCATTAAAACCCTAATTCTTCTTCAAGGGCCGGGGCAATGCTGCACCTCTAAAAGTTTCCCTGTCATTCCCTGAAATTAAATTTATGAGCCGGTATGTTCCACTATTTCACACTAGCACCTGTCACACTGTACTGGATTGATGGTCATAGCCTGTGTTCCTCTCTTGCCCTATTAGAGTCTAACTAAAGGACAGAGCTGCATGGATCACTAGAATCCATTAAGAGCACAGTATTTTATGTGATGTGGGCATTTCATACAAGTCTACTGAATTAAATCTGACTCGAAGAAAAAATCAGACTATTATTAAACATTAATGAGAAGTACACAGAGCAAAACACCTGGAAAGAAATTGGCAATTATTCCCCCAAACTTATAAAATGGCCATTTCGATGCATATAAAAATCCACACTCAAATTCTTTCATATAAAACAATTACAGTTCATCTTTATTGAGGCTTAAATAAATGTAAAAATATTCTGAAAATGATTAAGTATTATACATTTATATATCTACATTAATCATGATTATTAAAGTTGACTCTGGTTTATGTTTTAATTACCAGGCTATTCCAATTCTTTACTAGGCTAGGTTAAAATTTTCTAAGGGTCAAAATGAATTAACAAGCCTAAAATTAATCAACAACCAAAGAGTTAAATTTAATCAACAATTTTAACACATAAAAATGAATTAGAACCATTACATAATTAAGCCCAAATTAAGCCCCCAAAATGTCAAAATTTATGAGGGGAATCAAGGTTTTTCAATGTTATGACTGTATCTGCTCTATAAAGCGAAGTACTTCCAATAACAATACCCAGAGAACAGGGGCTGGAGATTGTGGGAGGGCTGGGTGCTCTGAGGGCAGGACCCCCAATTACTTCTGAGCACCTGTGCTCTCCAGAACACATTAGTGGAAGAAGTCCCAAGCACTGTCAGAGGGAGGCCACTCCACCTTCAGAAAAACTAATAGATTCTTTTTGTTTCTCTCGGTTCATTTTAATTTATTGTACTTTTAGCAAGTTTTTTTTATTTTTGAAAGAAGGCTCAGGAAGAACAAAACTCAGCCAATTAAGAGAAGAGCCGCAGAAGCAACTCAGTCCTGGGTTCAGTCTAGGGTGCCACAAAGGAAAAATATTTTCTTTCACACAGCTACAGCAATCTAGCTCATGAATCAGAAACAGTTACTTCCTAATCAAACATGGGCAGGGGATAATAAATGTCAAGCAAAAACTTCTGGATCCACCTTGAGAGCTAACTACTTGCTTTCGTTTTGTATATCCTATGATGCTCCCTTAAGATATGGTGACAAGCCGCATGTTCACAGTTTAGTCTATTTATGTTCTTATACTCAAGGTCATAGACTAATTATTCAAGAGTAAATATATTAGAAATGCTTTGTGTCTCCCGGGCTTATACAGCTATGTAAAAACACAGCTAGCAACTTTTGCGTTTACAAATATATAAACACTTAGCTGGGACTGTCTTAAAAAAAAAAAACAGAACCGAACAATTCAGTCATCTCTCCCCCTTATCGTTGGCTTCAATTTCCCACAATCTGAAAATATGACATGCCCTAGGATATTTTGAGAGATGATATTCACATAACTCATTACAGTATACTGTTGTAACTGCTCTATTTATTATAATTATTTTTTGTGCCTAATTTGTAAATCAAATTTTTATTGCAGATTCTAGCGTAGGTAAAATGTAGTTTAGAATTACCTGTAGTTTCATACAACCACTGGAAGTCTTGGACTGAATTATTACAAGCAAAAAGTAACAAGAGTACAGAAAGCAGTTCGTTTTATTGTGTTGCCAAGTACTGAGCCCAGAGCCTCACACATGCAAAGCATGTCTTAAAATTATCCTGTTATAAATTTAAATGGCATGTTAGTCATTTATATGAAAATGAACTACTTTATAAAATTAGTTTATATTCTTTGCATATGTTTTTTAAAATAAAACTAATTGTGGGAAATGGTCCAAAGAATTTAATGTTACTTTCATTTTGACATGCTTTGGTCCCTACAAAATAAAATTCTAACTCAGTTGTAAACACTATTATTTAGAAAGCAATGATAGCCTTATACTTTACAGAGCAGGCTAATGTATTTAAAGGAATACTATAAAAAGTACAGTAAGGTAGACTAGTAATCAGAAAATTTAATTCTAGGTTCTAGCTCTGCTACTAAAGGAATTGTAAAGTGTGGCAAGCATTTAGTTCACTTCTCTTAGTCTCAGTTTCTTCATCTCTATATAAGGGAAGTGAGAGCTTTGATTTTTATGTTTTGTTCTAGAAATCAGGACTTTGGTGACATGAGCAAAGGTATCAAATCTCTTAAATGTTAATACTGACTAAAAAGAATTACAGTGCTGGGAGATAGCTCAAGGGGTTAAGAGTATATGCCGTGCATTTGTGTTGGATTCTTAGCGCTGCATGGGCCCCAAGTACTAAAGGGAAGGCTGCTCACATACGAGTGTATTATAGAGAATTAGATCCTGAGAATTCTAACAGAAAATTTAAATTCCATATGAACGATACACTTAAAAAGTAAGTTATTCTAAAATTTAAAGACAGGTAAATAAGGAGTTAAAAGATAGTTAAGTATATTAAACTAACTCCATTTTTGCTCAAAATATTAGAAATTAATGCTTCCTCTATTTTAAAATGTTGATAAATAATATCATCTGCACAGATTCTTGAACAAAATTATGCAACTATAAAAGTTGCAAGCGAGTCATACATTTCTATCTTTGTCTCTTCTGAGTCCATTTGGTAGAAAAGAATTCTTCAAATTGTCACATAACAATCTTCAAGTCAATTTATTTAATTAAATATAAAATTGAAGAGTAAGTGCCAGAGTGTCAGAACTGTCCAAAGAGTGAACTCCTTAGCTAGCAGAATTCTGTGTTGAGACTGACCGCCCTACTGCTCAAATAACCGTTAAGAAAAACGTCGAGATATCCCTAATTGATTTCTGAAGAGTCAATGATTCTATTTATTCATTAAGCAGTGTGGGGGACTGAATCCAGTGAAAGTCAATGATTTTTCTAAAGGACTGTAATGAGGCGATTTCTTAAAAAGAGTATGAAAATGGATAAATGTTCATTTTGTTAAGACCACAATATAAATTGTCAATTCTCAACTTGATTGTTACAGATGAAACCAACTGGAATATATTAAGGCTAAACCTACTCCTGAAAATTATGAAGCACAAAATATCAAGATCTTCAATAGGCCATCAAATTTGTTTTTTAAAAAAATTTCTTACTGTAATGAAGTCATCCCCTTTAACCATTCTTCCTTGGTAAAAAATCCCATGCTTTCAGCCTCCAATTTCCACGCTAAAACTAACATAATAATCTGGAAAGAACAGAACATAAAGGATAGGGGAAAAGTCAGCATAGAGATAATCACTTCCATATTTATCATGGAGAGCATTTTTATACAACAAGTTCCATCCTTAACTATTACAGAGAATAACCCCTGGAATTATTTACTATAAAGAAATGGGCCAAATAAACGCAAAAGTTCTAACACTTTCTAAAGGTAGAATCTTTCATGCTATTATACATGACATTTGTGTCAAGAAAGGCTACTTGCCCAACTTCAGTTGATTAAAAACATCCTACATGAGAATCTACATTGTTAAACATGAAGAAACAAAATCTTCATGTGTCCCAATTTTTAGAAATTCATGAATATGCTATAACCCATTGGTATCCCATTCTACTTGGGAATAAAACATACATTTTCAGGCTCAACACCAATGTCTTCACAAAACTTTTCCATTCCTTCTGGCCCTACAACTTCATCAGGACCTTCAAAGACAAAAATAATTCATTTATTTTGTTACAATTTAGTATTAAATATGCATAAGCCATTGTGCTAAAGGCATTTACAAACACACCATAAAATTTTTCACAAATAATTCAACTTGACTTTGACATTATTTTTGATAAAGTGTAATTACATGCTACAGGATATAAAATTTACCATGTTTAAATATTTTGATAACCATATTACACCATAAAATTAAAATAGAAAAAATGAATCAGCACTATTATCACTAAATTGTACAATAACTCAGACCCGTAAATATCTATTAAAATTTTAGTAATTTATGCATATAAAAAGTTTGAGCTTTTCTATTAAAAGTGCCATTATCAACCTAGAGTTCAGAATAGCATTCAAAAAGCAGCTTACTGAAACAGATTATCCACTTTTTTTGAAATACACCAATACAAATCTGTATAGTGATAAACATCATGAAAATTATGTAAGAAAATTATTATATTCCAATTTCAGAAAGAGCATTTTTCCTTGTTTTTGTTCTAAAACAGCAAATCATCAAGAAAGTCCAATCACCCAACTATGTCATTTGTCAAAAATTACTATTTTTAATCCCTCGATTAACACAATACACCATTCTTAACATTTATCTTACTAGTTCTAAAAACCTGTATCTCTTCCTTAAGGACAAAAATACTCCAGAGCTTTAGAAATTTATATGCTAGACCCAAGCTCCTCATGTGGCATTTTACATCATCACTAGTTCACCAGGACAGCATGAAGCCAGCACCCAAGGCTGTGCTTGATGGAAAAATAGAGTCATTCCTCTATTGCACTGGCTAATATAGTGGCCTGAGAAGATCCAGGCTGTTAAGGTGTTGACACATTGTCTGAAGTCAGAACCTTCGCTAAAGCTTTTTAGTTTGAGGAAGTTTTATAAGTATTTATTCAGTGAGGTGTTATAAGAGCGGAACAGGTGATAATTACAGGAAACTTTCACTTCCTAGTAGTTGGAAGATCTTTTCATTGGAAATGTGCTCATTTTGCTATAATCAACAAAGCTGTTACAAAAATATAACTAAACCACACATATATGTCTGTACACACACAGTTCATTTATCTTTATAGATGGTTTGGAGGAAAGTAAAAATTACACTGGGGATGGGGGTGGAAAGAGAATACAGGGGTAAGATGCTTGCCTAGTATATGGCCAACCTGGGTTTGATCACAAGCACCCCATATGGTACCATGATCCCTAAGTAGAGAGTTGAGAGTAAACCCTGAGCACTGCCTGGTGGCCCCCAGACACCTCCCCAACCCCCACCCCCCCTGCAAAAAAAAATTTTAAAAAATCGCATCAGGGGCCAGGAAGCACGCCTGTGCTCTCTGGAGGAAGAGAGAGTGGAGGAGAAGGTTGGCACACAGAGCTGTGCGCAGGGCTTACAGTCCTGTCAGGGACTGAAGAACAGTAGGGATCGAATCCAGGTGAACTGTAAGCAGGGCAAGGACCCCACACACCTGCCCTACAATAAATCCAACCTGTCCTTGAAGTGCAATCATTAAGAGATTAGAAAGAAAAACAACTGTCAAGAAATATTTAGAAACAAATGTATTAGTATTTATTTACTTATCAATGTTTAAAAGAAATACTGTAACAGACTCATCAGAAACCATAGGATTAGTGATTAAAATTTTATTAGAATTGAGTTGTTAGAGACAATTAAGATCTTTTTTGATCCAGCAAAGTAAAAAACAATTTATGTGTATAACAAGGTCTATACCTATTTTCTTTTCCTTGATCACATATTAGACTTTTTGAAATATAATCTTCCAATAAAATGACTTCTAGGATAAAACCTGTAAAGATGAGTCTATTTTAAGGCAAAATATGTTTCCACTTAGGTTAAGAAACTGTAAGTACTAGATCCAGAATATGATGGGAATCTTTGTTAATTTAACCACTGCTAACAAATGAGAGGTCTGAGGGCCAGAGAGAGAGAGTATAGCAGGGAGGGCGCTTGCTTTGCAGGCAGCTGACCAGGGTTCAATCCTTGGCATCTCATATGTTCTCCTCAAGTCCAGCCTGCAGTGACCCTAGAGCCCAGAATCAGAAGCATGCTCTGAGCATATCTGGGTGCAGCCACCTCCTCTCCCTCCCAACGAAAGAAATAAGAGGTCTGGTGAACAGGAAAAACCATAAGACATGATACATGATGTATGAGATTGTATTAATAAGATTAGTAACATATTTTAGAAAACAACCAATTTTCTCATTTTGTTTTATAAATGTAGGGAAATGCAGTGAGCTATGCACAGGTTCTAAAAGTAGAGCATCCTGAGCAGCATGGCAGATGCTCAGGAAAAAAAAAGGTGCATCAACGAATGACAGAACAAGTCTCAGAGGCGACCAGGGGACATGTTGCTAATTCTGAAACAGTGCTATAAGATGCATGACCAATAAATTCATGCTATCTATACTTTGAATCAATGCCAGTTAATTTTACCCTGGTATATAATAGGTGCTAATAAGCTGTTTACATGTAGAGTATCAATAGCAACAATCATTTTCATTTTAATTAGGACCAACCATTTTAAGAAAGAACAGTCACAGTGAACTGGCAAGCTACTGCTTCCTCCTGCCCATTAAGGCACATCCTCCAGCTAACAGGACCCCTGATATCAGGAGCCAGCCTATTCGAAAGGCCAGCTGGCCTCTACTTTCTATCACCCCACATCACTGTACTAATTATCTTGATAACCCCTCTTCATTCTGTAATTATCCTACCCCTAACCTATTCACCTTCTTCCACACTAGAAGGCAAATTCCCAGAGAGCAGAATTCTTATCAGAACTGTTCACTCATGTCCCCAGCACCTGGCTCATAATCTGACACAGGGAGGCTTAATGAAGATTTATTGAAGAATCATTCAATGAGTAGTAGAAGATAAAGTTAACTTTGGTACACTTCCTAGTATTTTCTTTGTAAAGGAAGATCAGGTGCCCTGAGCATACTTTTACACAGCCTATTTAACACAGCACAGTTGTAGAGAAAAAGAAAAGCATTAGCACAATTGAATATATCCAAATGATTATGGTGGGTATTATAAATATACAAGGTAAATATTTAATTAGACTATAATGCTAAATGGGAAGGTCCTGATAAGCGGTTGACAAATGGGGAAATGTTTCCTAATTTTGTGGTATCAAGTAACTTTTTAAGTGAAATGAGTGATCTTTTGATCTTGCATACCATTAAGACTAGCATTTTGAATAATGGGTCAACATTTTAAATGGAGGCCAGTGAGGAAATGAATTCCCTTCATTGAAACTGGGTTAGTGCTTGTCTTGGGATACCAGTAATAGAAGATTTTCTGGCCTAGGGAAAAAAATTCTATTCTTTACTCAACAATTTTTAAATTATGCTTTGGGATCACTTACACTAATCTTAACAGTGAAGTTACCATCTCCGCAAAGCTTTACTTTTCATAGTTAGCCTAAACTTACCTTAACAGCAAGTAAAATAATCAGTTTTATTTTAAACAAACACTCCAAAAATGATCGGAAAGAGGAAAAGAAAATCAGAAACCAGGAAGGTAGGTAAAAAAGGAGTAAATAAAGAAATGGAAGGGATTAAAAATATTTCAGGGGCTGGAGTGATAGAACAGTGGGTAAGGTCTTGCATGTGCTGAACCCAGGTTCAATCCCTGGCTTCCCTTATGGATCCCCTAAGAGCATTGGTAGAATTCCTATGTGCATAACCTGAAAAAGTAACTCCTGAGCATTCCCTGGTGATTCCCCTCCCCCCCCACTGCCCCCAGGGGTGGGGGGAGGGTAAGTTTTTAAACCTTCAATTCCGAAAATGAAACCACTTTCAGGAGAGTTCAGCATTCTGAACAGTGCCCACATCCGCTTCTGGAGTAGTGTGAATAAAACAAGCATTCCTCTTACACATCACCCTAACTCTTCAGCCTCAACTTTGGCTTAGACATTCTCTTACCTCTAAACTACAGCTGCACCCAATGAGGTTTTTCACCCTCCATCACAGGAAGCTGACCAGAATAGCATCTTTAAGACTTGCCTATGGAATTCCAAGGCTTGGTTGCATATTTTTTTTTTTTTGCATATTTTTTTTAGCAACTTCCCGAGCATCTTCCTAAAGGAGGATTTATCCTACTGTATTAAATTCTGTGCATTTCCTTACTATTATCTCTCTAGTACAAGTGATGGCTAAACTACAATAATTACAAGCTAAGTACACTGTGCAATGATATGTCTGGATTTTAAATCTTTTCCTTTGTCGTTCCAGTTTCAGAGCAATTTGAAACAATACTGGAGAGTAAATTAAGATTTACTTTATTACTTGTTTTGGATTATCAACTGCTAGTAAGTGCATCTTTTGTTTACAAATGTCATTAACAGTAAATAAATTTCACCCATTCCATTAAATACAGACTGAATTATATATTTAGATATAAGCCTCAAAAGGTACCAAATTCTTACGACAATCCAAAATCCTCAGTCTTGACCCCTAATCCCAGTACACAGTACTAATATATAGAGGCCTGCAATAAATAATTTGTTAAATGAATGAACCAAAAGTTTTAAAGCATGTGACTGTTCTTATATTAATTTCATTACCTGCATACTCATAAAACCAAGCCAGGCACTTCTTGCTTGAAAAATGTTCCTCTCCACTTATTAGTCTAGCAGGGGGTTGGGATCTGCAATAGCTTAAAAAACACACAAATGCCTAAGAACTACTGCAATTCGTACTAAACAATTTTTTTTCTTTGTTTTTTACAACTGATATTATAGGAAAAAACTGTTAAGTATCTGCAATCTGGAATAGCAATCTATACAGAACAGTTTTGGCTAACAAAACCCAAATGCTACTTTGCTCACTACAAGATTCCAAAAATATCAACTAAAATGATTTCCCCAGATCTCAAAGACCACAACACAGTAGTTGAACTGGTGATCTCAATACAGAATTGGTAATTGCAGAGCATAAGTCTTTTTTTCCACATAAATTGTATGTATAACAAATACATTTGAAAACAAATCTTCTGATATTTCAAAAACTTCCATATGGAAATTATTATCATCTGCTAAGCTAAATTTAAAGATCGTCAACAGATGATCATTTAAAATAGCCCTAACGTATAGGAATGATAGTTTAATCAGGCCCAAACTATATCTTTTTCATAACTCGAATTCATACGTGCCCTGTGGAGGAGCTTGGTGAAATTCAGAGAGTCTTTTCCCCAAGGAGTGTGGAGAGTTACATTGCCATACTCACAAACATGACACAGAAAAACTTAATTTCTACAGCGGAGTGATATGATGCAAAATGCGGGTACCCTATTTAATACTGTAAGGTGACTGAGCAAAGGATCACCTGAATTTTAATAATAATGGCTGCTCGTTATTTTAATGCGTTCAATGCGTGTTTTGATACATTATACACTTAAGATGGCTACAAAAGGCGTAACAAACAAATTTGCATGTTTCATAAAGAGCAGGAGGAGCAACCAAGCCCAGGCTGAGTTACCAAGAGCAAGACTCTTTCTCGCTCTAGTTGCTCAAGAAATACCCTTAGAGCTCTTGGGTGGGGGCTGGGGGAGGGCACCCCCCCACCCCGCAGTTACAAAAAAGGAAAATGCAGACGAAGTAGCAGCCATCTACCTCGCATTTTAAGTAGATGTCTCTTTAAGGAGGGCTCTATCATTATACCGTAACATCTGCCCTTTATAATACTGGCTAGTCTCCTTTTCAAAGGTAGGCTCTGAAGTTGTTAAATCGAGTGCCAACCACGGACAGCGTGAAAGACACCCAATAAAGCGATTTCAGAAAACCCACCTGCCTCTCTCTCCCTCCCCTCCAACGGCAAGAGAGTCTCTGCAGCGCAGAGCTGCTACGAAGCCTGGATGACAGGTGACAGCGGGATCAGAGAGCGAAGCTCTGCTCCGTCTCCGTCCCCCTCCCCCCCAGAACCGAGCACAATAGCTCTGGAATTAATACTTATACAGCGAGCGAGCAGCATCCTGCGCACCCCGCGCCTGCCCAGCCCGGCTCCGAGGGTCCCGGGTGGGCGTGGGGGAGGCTCAGGGTGGGGGAGGGCACCATAACGCGGGCGCTTGGGGGAGGGGGGCGGCCGGCCAGGTGAGCCCCCGCCAACGCTCGGCAGCGGTCGGGTTCAGCCCTGCGCGGGAGCGGGCCGAGCGGGGGCAGCGCCGGGTCAGGGGTCAGGGGTCAGGGATCAGGCCAAGGGCGCGCGGGCGCTCCCTCCCCGGCCCGGGCCTCCCCCCACTCCCCTGAGGCCGTCGGGCGGCGGCGCGGGCGGCGGCGGGGGAAGGTGGTACCTGGAGATTTTACACTTTTTGAGGCCCCCGTCGTCTGCCGCGGCCGCCGCCACCCCGGGGGATTTCCTCTTCTTCTTCACCGGCATCTTCCGCCCTCCCCGGCCGGGCGGGCCGCGGCGCCGGGGCAGGGGCGCCGTGCGCGGGCGGCTCCGCAGGGCTGGTCCGCGCCGAGCGAGGGGGCAGAGCGACCCGCCGCGCCCGTCCTCCTCCGGCCCGGGCTGCGGGCGGGGGTGACCCCCTGGCGGGAGGCGCGGTGGCGGGTCGACCACGCCGCCCCGGGACCAGCACACGGCGCGGCGCCCTCGCCAGTCACGGAGCCGGGAGCCGGAGCGCGGCTGACCCGGAAGCGACCGCTGCGCGCCGGAAGTGACGCTGCGTCGCGCGCCGGGGGTCGGGAGCCGGGAGCCGGGAGCCGGCAGCCGGGAGCCGGGAGCCGGGAGCCTCTGCGTCGGTGGTGCCGTTCGGCTGCTGTGCTGCCTCTGGGCTCATACTCAGCGTTCCCCGACACCCCCGGAGGTGGCCTGGGACACAGCGCGGACCCCCGAGCCCCGGCGGCCTCGCCTCACGGCCAGCCCCGCCCGCCACACGCGGCAGAACTCGCGGACACGTCTCGGCTCTGCCCCGCAGACACGGGGTTATGGGGTTGGGGACGCATCTTGGCTCTACCCCTCAAACACTAGGGGTCAGGCCACTTGGACGTGCATCTGGCTGCGTGTGACGAAGTCGGGCTCGGGGTTCTTTCGTGGTGGCGCCTGTGAAAGTTGTGACCGAAGGCGGAACGTCTTCACACTAAGGAGCGGCGACCCTGGCGGGACTAGTCCTGTAATTTCCTCAGTGGCTTTTGCAAAAGATCAGATGAAGGTTTTTTTGTTTGTTTGTTTTGTTTTGTTTTTGGCGGGTGGGGGGCGGGGGGTCAGATGTTGCAGTGCTTGCGGGTCGCACCTTGTGATGCTTAACACGTGCCCGCTCTGGCAGACAATGCAGGTGCTTAACCCTTGGATTTTCACCCGCCCCCAGATTAAGGTTTTTTTTTTTTTAAAACTGATCGTCCAAACCATTGAAATGGCCTCAGAAAGCCAAACTTGGCCAGTATAATCGTGAGGAAGCAAAAAAATCAACCTTGAGGGGCCGGAGAAAGGACAGTGGGTACGTTCTGGCCTTGACACGTGGACAACTCTGGTGGGCTTAAGCCCCCTGTTCTGCCACAAGCGATTCCTGAGCACAGAGCCGGGAGTAAGCCCTGAGCAGCACCGCCACGTGTGGCTCTAAAATTGAAAAAAAAAAATTCTTGAGAGTTATATGTAAGAACTAGAATAGGGAACTGAAAGTGAAGTTATCAGAAATACAGCTACTATATTTCCTAACAGGAAATTATCCTGTTAGGAGTGAAAAGTACTGCGGGTAGGTAGGTTGTATTGCAGGCAAGGAACCCAGTGCAATTTCCAGGACTCCATATAGTCCCCAGAGCCCCTCCAGGAGTGATCCCTGAGCACAGTCATGAGTAAGCTCTGAGCATCACAGGTGTGGCTCCAAACTAAAAACCGTGTTTTGGACTAAGAAAGACTTTAAATCTTAAAACAACCATCAGATTTCCAGAATTTCCTTACCAAAAAACTCAGATAATGTATCTTTTTGGTTTATTTGTTGTTGGTCCATTTGAACATGGTGGACCGACTTTTTAGTGCTGAGTTGATAGACCCTTTTTGTTTCTCTGAATAAAGGACTCCCCAAAGTGTCATGAACTTCCCAGCCCTATTCCCTTTGAAAACCTAAGTATATGACAGGAAAAGCTTTCCTTAACTTCATTAAGAGCTTGATAATGGTTTAAAATTTCAATTTTAATACTTGATTTGTAGCACTGTAGCAGTGTCCTCCCGTTGTTCAATGATTTGTGGGAGCAGGCACCAGTAACTTGTTACTGTTTTTGGCATATTGAATAAGCCATGGGGAGCTTGCCGGGTCTCCAACAGGGACAGAGGAATTGAAACCGAGTCGGTTGCATGCAAGGCAAACACCCTACCCACTGTGTTTAGTGATTGAAAATATCAAAATATCAAATCTGCTTGAAAATGGAAATTGTAATGATCTCTTAGTTACTGTGAATTGCCCTGATGGGTAAACTGATCCTACCAGAATTTTTAGTTTTTGTTTTTTAATATATTCTGTTCTCATAACAACAGGCTATTATGGTCAAAAGGTTATTTTTATCGCATACTATGCACCCCCCCCAAGTTCCTAAGCTGTGAAGCTGAAAGCTCTGATTTCACTGCCATGTTGTGAACACTCATGTAAAAATGAAAATAGCAATTAAGACTAACAAATTCATTAATAACTGCCAAAGTAATCTTTTATTCCAGATCTTGACATGATTTTTTAAAAAAAATGATACTGCAGAACTCTGTGCAAGCAAGATTTCTGCAAATTAAAGAGAAACTGATCATGTACACAGTAAAGTTGAGCATTAAAGCATCTAGAAGAATAATCAGTATCATTACAGGTGGAAAAGAATATTGTTTTGAGATTTAAAAAAATAGGATATAAAACATTCTCTAGCATGCTTGATTGATTACATTGAAAGACAGTTTCAAAAGCATCACTTTAGCCATACAACAGACTTCACTCCACCCTGGGTAAAGGAGCTCTGTAGACTCAAGAGCCATAGATTTGATGATCCAATGAGGGCCAGACGTCCTCCAAAGGCCGCTTTTCCTCACGGTTTACAGCACACAATCACTGAAAACTATGTTACGTTGTTTATTCAATCTGGCAATTACTGAGAGAAGCGATTAGCACTTTGGTATTTTATCATCATGCAGTGCAAAGAAGATAGTCTAATTTCCATTTTTTCCCCCCACATTTGGTTGTGAAATATACTAGCAAGGATCCTGTACACTGGTGATTTTACAAATATGGCTATGCGTTAGGGAATAGATGTGATAAAATCTAGTATGAAATTCCTAATAGGTAAATGAAAAATGATGGGGGAATTCCATGTGAAGCGGAGAAGCTTCGGGAAGTAAATGAAATACTGGTCTATTCTCTAGGGCTTCTCTAAAGAGCGATTTTCTGTTTAGCTTGCTTGGTGGCCAAACCTGGGGTGCCGGGGGTGGCTCCCGGGGCTGATCTGGGGTCCCTGCGGGGTCAGGAATCGCACGCGAAACCCCGCATGCAAACACTACACACGCCAGCCCTTGAGGCTAATTCCTGGCCCCTCGGGAGCGGCCTCTAAGGAGCAACTTTTGCGGTCTGGTCAGGCCTGGGGTGCGGCACTGGCCAGCAGACGTTCACTCCTCAGCCAGGCACATTGCAAGAGACCAGCAGGGAGAACAAAAAGCCCCGCGGAGCCCCCACCAACGCCCCGACCAGTGCGTACGCGGAGTCGCGGAGGCCCCAGGGAGGCCCGAGCGCGCGCGCTCCCTGGGGTGGAGCGTGCGCGTGCCCGAGGCGGCCACGTGCCCCGCGCGGCGGCGCGGACGTCGGGATCCGTCTTCATAGCGACGGGCCCTGGCAACCGTGAAACTCCCAGGGCGGGCGGGCTAGCGGGCTGCTCCCGGGCTGGGCCGCGGCCCTCCTGCGATCCCGTCCCCATGGCGGTCGCCGACGTGCGGAAGCAGTTCATCTTCACCACCACTCACAACTACTTCGGGCTGCTGTCCGAATCCCGGGAGCTCCCGCGGCATCACGGCCACCCCGAGGTCAACAACTTCCTGGACGACGGCAATCAGATGCTCCTCCGAGTGCTGCGCGACGAGCACGGCCTCGCCTTCTCCAACACGGTACGGGACCCGGCCGCCGGCAAGCGTGACCCCCGCAGCCCCCGCGGGTGGACCCGAATCCCGTAGACCCGGGCCCGTCCGCCTCGGTCCCCAGAGCTGCAAAAAAAGAGCATTGACCTGACCCCGTTATCAACCACAGTTCCTCCCTTGGGATTTGGGAGGGAAATTCTAGTATATCATTTTGGGGGGGGGGGGGCGTGGGGGAGTGGTGGAGTGGGGGTATTACGCACGGAGCTTAAATTCAGTTGAAAAGATTTATGGGATTATAAAGTACGGGTTGAAACTGTTGCATTTTCAGTCAGGCATCCTGCACATACACGCACACTTTTACCCGCTTACACGTGCACATCGAAATTGAACACAGATGATCAGCCTCTCCTGTTAAAGTCACGGGATGAGAGTTAATAAGCCGGAGACGTGTTTTCTCCTCCCTGGGGTGCTGATGAACTTGGGGCACTCTGCAGTGGCAATGCCGGCATGATGGTGGTGCGCTCACCTCACGCACTGGGAACCTTGAATTCAAGTGTATCCAATAAACCTTTTTCTGTACCTTTGCTAGTGTTGGGGGCTTCTGAGGATAAGAGAGGGTTGACTATTTAGAACACCTTTCTTCCTTCCTTCCTTCCTTCCTTCCTTCCTTCCTTCCTTCCTTCCTGTTCTGAATATGAATCTTGGTCCCCTGAAAATCCCCACAACACTGGAAATATACTTTATTTATCCCCCTCAACACTTCCCCGTACTTTGTTTCCCTTGTATGGGGTAGAAAGGAAGGCACAAGGCCTCCATTCGCGGTGTTCTCTTCTGTGTAGCCTGAACTCAGGAGAGGAGCTCTGGCTGCTCCTTTCAGAGCATCTCTCCTGTGACCTCTGCTATGCTCAGTTGGGCTCTTGGTGCAGCAAAACCAGGCTACACTGCACACGGTCCTTCTCCCCTCCCTTGTACATCAGTTAGGTTTAAATCACTGGTCACTGAGAGGATTGGGTTCATGCTTTAGGGCAGAGGTTGGCAAATGAGTGTTAATTTTTCCCTCTTAAGTTTAGGTGATATTTTCAGCTTGTTGGTAATACACAGTTGGGTGGCAGTTTGTAATGTGCTCCATCCTAGGAGGTGACAGCTATTTGCATCTTCCACTGGCCTTTGCACCTTGAGCCCTGCAGTTACAAAAGGATAGTTTAAGGGAAAGTCCTAGTTGTCAGTGAAAGTAAGAGGAAAGGCAGTTGATGAGTGTCTGTTTCCAGTTTGCCTGCTCAAACAATAATGATTAACTCTGGGACAAAGCTCATAATCCTGACCGATGCCTTGGGGAGCCCTGGCCAAGGACCGTAGCTGCTTTTCTTGAATGTATTTTCTGGATTTTCTCTCTTTAGGTAGGTGGGAGGAATTTTCCCTCTTTAGATAGGTGGGAGGAAGAGATTACATGGTTATGTATTTTATATATTTTCAAATAACTAAGAGTGAATATTTCAAATCTATGAATATGCAACTTGTTATTCTTTCTTGCTTGGGACTGGAATACAGGACTCATATTAGAGATAGAATTCCAGTGAGAGCTTGAGAAATGCGCCACTCC